CTCTGCTACTCCTGCTGTTCCTCTGAAAACATTGTGTCCCATGGCATGAGCGAACATGTTTGGCCATCTTTCCTGTGAACCTGTACAATGGCAGGACCCCCCTCTTTGCAAAGGCATCCCAAATGACTCTTAGTGTAACTCAGAACTGGTGAGACAACAAACCTTGACGCTGGCTTTCTGTGACCTTTTAAAGGTATTTTAATGGCCCTATCTCCCCACTATTGGAATATTTGGTGGGGTAGGGTAATTTTATCTCTGTGAAGTGGAAAAGTGCTAATCCTGTTTGAATAGGCTACCCTCTAGTGTTTAAAGTCATTATGGCTCACAACAAAGCTTTGAATGTCTTCCTTCCACACTAACTAGGATTATCACAGCTCAGGTCGTGCCATGTTTTCACACCAACGCTGCATCTGTCAGAACATAAAAACCTACTACTGGCTGAAGGAAACCACAAAAATAAATGAAATTCTTCTGTTTCACACTTGATATTCCTACCTGAAGTACAATGAGCTTACAGGTATGTCTTTCAAATGTGGAGAAATAGATAAGTTAAATTAAATAACCTTGAATTTTTAGCTCCCTCACGTCTTCTCTACCCCTGCTGTTCATCGTTGCAGTTCTGTGCCAAAGTGTTGCCAAATGATTGGTTTTCAAACTTTTTTTTTTGCATGCCGCAGTGTCAGTGCAGAGTTGGATATTTACAATATATCATTATAATATAATACATCATTCAACTCTACTATACTGGGGAGCAGTCAGAAATCTGAAGCCATGTGAAATCAAAAGTATCTGCATGGATAGATTTTAAAAAGGTCTCTTTGCTTTCATTCTCCCATGGAGGCTGGATGGTTGTGTATCACCATCAAGTCTCAACTCAAACCAGGTGATGACAGGATTATTGAAGTTAGGTCCCTGAAGGGTTTTGGTCAGTATGTTAAAACATTATATAGGCTGTGAGGGTTTCGAAGTTAGTAACAACTCTAGAGTCTGTGACAAGCAGTCTCTAGAGCTGTTACCACCAGACTCCCATGGATGTGTGAGGTCTTTGTCAAGCTCTTCATTTGTCTCCTTCACCACTGATAGCAGAATACAGTAAATATTTGAGAGTTATTGCCGGGATTGGATTAATTACATGCAGTCTTGAGTTTCTGCAATGCATCTTTTGTTCCCAGAGAAGTCACACAACATTAACAAGCTGTCAAGCTGTGAACTGACATGATTTGTCTCAATGCCTTGTTGCTGGTTTGCCTAACATCCTCTATAAGTGTGAATAAGAATAGGTTTCTATGCCTTTGCATAAAGGTACATGTAAGCCTGCACACACTTAAATTTTATGTTCTGAAAGTTGAATGTGTATATAAGAAAGACAATAAGAACAGAGGGAGTGACAGTGCAACGGCATGAGAGTACGAAAGGGGGGTTAACAGAGCTTGACTAAACCAAGTGCTTGTACATAAATTGACATGTGCAATTAGGTAGATGTACACAGTCCCTCTGGTCTGTTTAAGATCTGGAATAGTTTCCTAACAGCTTCAAGATGCCCTGTTTTGGCTTTGGTTTCAAATCTAAATTGGGTTTGACCTTGCTGAATAATGGTGCTGGCAAAGTTCCTCCACACTCTTTGGCTAAAGTCCAGCTCCCCACCATACTTGACAAAAACCCAGAACAACCTTTGGCTACACTGGAATCTGATGAATGGTGAATGAAATTGTGACCTGGAATTAAAGTTCTAACAATGGATTTTGCAAGGTGACAAAAAACTTGTTTCGGTTTTGGTTCCCTATTTACATATTATATAAAGGTGGAGGGTGCATTAAAACTGGAGGAGTGAAAGGTTTAATAAGACACCTGTCACTGTGAAGTAAGTTGGGGAGCTCCTTCTGTTTTCTCTTTTTTCTTTCTTGACTAGCTTATTGTTGCTTTTATTTTCAGTTTTTCTTCCTGCCTTTTCTTTGACTCGCGACTTGTTTCACTAAACCAGTACAAGTACTGTACTTGTGCAAATTTTTGATAATACCTAACTTTCATCAGTGGTCTTTTTGCACAGTTAAAAAGGGCACACTGGGCCTACAGAGTGGTATCCAATGGGTTAAAGACAGCTGCCAACATCTGTAGCTGTGGTTAGCTTTTAATTGTGAGGCCCAGCAAGTGAGCTAGCAAGCAGCACAGTGGAGAGGGGGCTGGCAGGCTGCATATTTCAGCCGAGTGTTCTCAGAGCAGCTTTCCGGCAGGCCATGTGGACTCAATGATGGCGTCCAAGGGTATGCTGTGCTCCTATGAAATATTAAATCTCCTTGGCCCCCAAGTGCGGACAGACCACCTGCAAGCGAGCGTGGCGTGCAGTGAGCCTGGAGATCAGATATCCCTCAGCAACACATGTACACAAAGAAACACACATACATAAAGTCAGGCACGTATGCATGAGACAAATATATATATATATATATATATAATAGCCAATGTCCCCATAGAGGATAAAACTACTAGGCATATGATCTAATGGACATAAACACGTATAATAAAATTTAAAATAAACTGTGACCATCTAAACATAAAGTCATGTGGGAGACGATATATTTCCTGCTTGTACTACAGAGCATTTCTGCAGATGGCAGAATTATTTTTGCTGAAATTTTGTATGCATGATGCTTCTGGTTTCTATTTAAAGTCATGTTAAAATGGAAAAAGTGAATCCACTTATGTAGCTCCAGTGAACAATGAATACATGTTATACTCCTTCTTGAAACAATCAGCAAAAGCAGAGAACCACAATGATGATGCAAAAGAAGAGAAAGAAAAAAGTTCACAAAAGGAAAACTCCCAACTTCCAAAGCTGAAAAAGAAACTTGAGCCTACGTCCAAAAAGCAGCCAAGAGGACAACGGGTGCTTGTCGAATGCCGTCCCCTTTGGGGCCTCGTTCATTTACACGTTGTGCAGTCTGTCTTTGGCCTTCCCTCTGCTCCCCCTAGGCATCCCTGCCTGCCCAGATGTGCAGCTGTTTATCTGAAGCAGCACTAAAACCAGCTGACCTGCACATCCTTAAAGTGAACAGAGGGAGTCATCGTTCTTCATGCATACGCTCATAAGAAAGAAACTGACTACTTAGATTACACTGGGCACTTTGCTGCTTCAACACTTCAACAGTATTTTGTTAAATTTTTGTTTGCTGATCATGTAAATCTCCTTCCCTCACATATCATTTTATAGTATTCGTTTTTAATGAAATCATTCGTCAAAAGCCCTTTTCAGACATGCACTGGAACCTTGAAATTCTGGGGGAGCTGTATGTGGAAGCACAAATGTCCGAGTCAGCTGAGCCAAACCTTAAGTGGACTTTACCCCGCCAGCTCCCTAGTACAAACTCAGTGTAACGTCTGAGTGAGACCATGTGAGAATACAGCAGCGGATTGTCTGGAGAATTCGCATGGAGGTAGCGGGTATGTTGATGATGCTCTATCATGTGACCAGCATGAAACTGGAAGAAAACAAGCATCCGATGGCAAAAAAAAAAACAAAAAACGGCCATTTACAATGAAGACACCAACGAAAACACTGTATGTACCCGGAGAAAGTGAGATTCAGGAACTTCTGTTGTTAAAAGCAGGTGCCAGAATCATCAGACAAGGCAAGAGACTCAGTTGTTTATGACCAAATTACAATTACATGACCGGCCTCCTGCACACTCTACCCACTAAGTTTAAATTTGTTCATGCTATAACTGATTATTAAATGTCACTAAAACCTTCATAACAGCTCATGGCTTGGTGAGCCTCTTACAGTACTTGCTGCTCATTCAATAGACACCAGTGGCATCCTGTGGTCACTTTGTGTCAGTGACTTTGAAAATATGTTTTTATTTTTCCTCCCTGTTATTTGTCCATTTCTTGGTAGGGGGTGCTAAACTCTTATACAGCTGCACATGAGAAAGTTACAGTAAAACAAAATGCATGAAAAAAAAGAGGAATATACTGTCCATGTCTTGGGTTCTTTTCATGGGTTTCCATAACATACTGTATGTTATAGCAGCAGTAGACAGGTTTTACCAAAATAAAAGCTGCTCTTACCACTTCATGATGTCATAGGCTGAGTCACATCCAGCGCTGTTGTTAATAAGCATAAACAGTAACAGTGAACCAGCCAAATATCACCATCACTGTCATGATGAAATGTTATTTTGCTTATTTGAAAAGTGTATATATTATCATACTTTGAAAGCATTGCAGTACCAGTAAATAAAAGTTTTGAAAAAGAGTTGTATCACTATGAATGGTACAAAGAAGCACTCACCTCTAGTCGGCCACAAGGTGGCAGCAGAGACTTACTGGCAATTTAATGTGTCCCTAAAACTAGAGAACCTCCTGTGCACCTGCCTTTTCTGCACTGTGTGCAGGGGCAAGTGCAACTGGTCTTTCTATAAGGCGTGATGGTCAACTATGTGCCAGAATTCGTCACCACAACACAAGCATGCTCAAATCATGAAAAAAATCATCCTTATTTTAATTTGAGAACATAATTTTGACACTCATGAAACAATTCAATCCGTGGTGGACACAGTGTTAGCTACATGTACTCCATATCTTTTGTGCATGCTCTGTTTTATAACATATGTTAAAGAGCAAAACCCTGCTGCAGAGCTAATCATTGTTACTGAAATATGCAGACGTTGACTTGCCCTTGGAATATATTTGTGAATGAACCGAGCTCTCTCCTCTCTCTCCTCATCTGGATAAATGTCACGGATTAACGAGCGACTCGGCGTGTTTTCTCATTCAAGAGGAGCTAAGACTGTCGCTTTGTTGCCTTGGAGACTACAAATCAATACCATCATGCAGTAGCTTCTTGTCTATTCCCAATAAGAGGGTTCAGTCGCCTCTGTCGTCATCAGCGCTTGGAGGGGCGGGGCGGACTCTAGTCACTCGTGCTCTGATTGGCTCCTGCTACTAACGAGCTGCCATTGAGGATTTCTGGTCCGTGTGGAGAGGAGGTGTGTTTCTGGGTGCACAAGTACCCGCCTCTCACATAAATACTCAACACAAACTGCGGTTCTGATCAGAGACACCAATTTGAGCAGCTGTGTTCGGTTCTCCAGCTGCTACACTTGTGACACGGGTGCTCTCGGTTTGCAGTCAACGCTGTGTGTTCCCTTGGAGGCAAAAAGAAAAACCTAATAAAAAGTAGAGACAGGTCGGTGGCTGTAGTTTAATTCCCTAATCAGCAGAATTGACAGCAGGTGTGAATTCATGTCTGTATTTTCCCCGCAGATTTACTGGTGAGTACTCGCATCTTTTCCACTTTTATTTGTTCACACGTGTGAGCGGAAGTGTCTTGTTGTGGGCTTTTTTCAGCTACTTGGTAGAAATGACTAAATCTAATGTAAAACAGTAGATTTGTAGGCTGTGCCCATTGCTTGGTTGCAGCGTATTTTGCTTGGTGATTTCCCTCAGAATCAGCCACCTTTGTTGCTACACCCCCTCATGTTTCCCTTGAGACTTTGTGTGGGGTGTTGCCCCTGAAATTGGAAATGTTACAGCACTGGAATTGGGAAAAAGAAATGTGGGGGGGGGTCTAGGTTCCACTTTTTTTAGCATTAAATGTTTAAGGTTGTCAGTTTGTATGTGTCAGTTCAGAAAGGTCGCAGTGGCCACATGCAGCCATGTGCATTGGGGTGAAATGCACTTTATTCATCTCTTTGAACAGTGAAGCCCATGGACTCTCTTTGCTGTGTCCTTACACATTTTGACTGGAGTAAAGCATTGCATCCATCCTTTGGCCTTCAGTGCTGCAGGTGCAGTGCATTTGGAGAAGGATGGATGGATGGATGCAGTGTGCTGCTATCTATTATGGTAGTGTCTTCTTTTTCATTGTTACCTTTCAACATTGTCGCCCTTAAAATGCCTTAATGCTGCTCCTGACAGGAAGAGGGAATCATCTTTGTTTATTTGAGCCTGACTGTAGACTGCCAAATGGTTTCCTGTTTGCACAGAGAAGCATATGTGAGTTTCTTTGAAACATTGTTGTGTGAGCACTGTTCTAACCTCAGCAGGCTTCTGGCTGTCTCTACCAGGAAGTTCAGAATCTACCTCTTTTCTGTAACCACACTTGCCTGAGCTTACTCACAGTAGAGCCTGTGCTTCTCTGTTGTCTCATTTTGCTTCTTTGAGAAATAAGAAAACAAGATTTCACTATGCTGAAAGTTGCAATAAAATCTTGTGATTGCACTGCAGACTTATTTTTGGGGACAGAGACTTTTTCTTACCCAACATTTACTATACTTATGCATGCATAGAAAACATGGTGTAAGTTCTTTGGGTTACCACTTGAGTGGTAGCTGCTCTGTGATGGGTTTTCAGGGGCACACTCAACCAACAGGTATTTTGATGCAACCCATTCTTTCCAGCTCAGTCCTGAGGCTCTTGCTCAGTCTCCCCCCCACCACCACCACCACCCCCCCACATACAGTAACTGCAGAGCTATGTGACAGAGGGAAAACAGTGTTGTTAATGCAAGATGCAGATTTGTGCAGTGAGATGCAAAGACCAATTGGGCTTCTGTCAACACTACCAAGAATGAGATGCAAGGAGCTTGTATGGTCTTTGCATTTTACAGATGGGTGAACATGGTGTCCATCTAAGGCTAAGCCTCCAGACTCTGTTTCTGAGCATCTTTTAAACAAATGATTTTGACCACCTTAGACAAAGTTGTAAGAGGGGAGTAAATCTGTGATTAGTCTACAAAGCATACTGTAAGCCAGAGCCTGTAACATAAACTCAGAGCTGCTGGGAATGTGGTCACTGTATAGTGAGATGTTATAGTAGTTGGACTAGTGGATTTGCCAGATAACCTGTCTAACCAGTTGTCCAAAACAATCAACCATGGCTGCCAAATACAGTGATGGCAGTTAACTACTGCGGTCTGTGCTGATTGCATGCCTTTCATTTTTAGTGTCATTACTTGTATAGCACTTAATGTCATCTTGGAATTATTAAATTGACACTGTGCATCACTGCTTGACACTTGAAGCAGTAATTGACAGGAATGTAGTCTGTAGCATGTTTGTTTCCTCCCAGGTTGACCTGCTACGTTTGCACCCCCACTTCCTCCTCACTGTGCCCCTTTGTTTTATTAGGTCAATGTTCTGTTATTCTTAGCTGAGCAGGATGTTTATAGAATCCACGAACTGAAATATGACTGGCAGGGCCTGAGTGTTTTTTTTAATCCCCCCCCCCCCCACCCCCCCGCTCTCCTCTCCTCCTCTGCTCAGGTCTTCACTGTCACTGCTCATCCTTCCATCCCTCCACTGCTTTTTGCATGCTTGTCTCACCCTCTGCTCCTCACTCAAGGATGAAAGAACTTCAAGAGCAACTCCAGTAGACTTCATATTAAACCTTGCACATCCTTCAGGCCTCCTTTATTTTATTTCTCATATCCAGCTATTGTTTTGGCCAAGTGTGACTACTGCACTAGGAGTTGTAGTGAATCACTTGGAGTGATTCAGCCAGAAGCTCTTTAATTTTCAAATGTTTTTAGAGCCACTCCACACCCTGCTGAGATGACGGTGTTTCTGTGAGGGGTATGTGTAACTCTAGGGATGGAAAAACTGATAAATTGCCATTGCTTCAGGGGTTACTGATCTCCTGCTAATGACTCATGTCATGAATTTGCATGATTTTATGCTCAATTTGTTTTTGTTTTTTTAGAATACAAGAAGACATGTACAACTCCTAAATATAAGCATCTTCATTGGAAATACTTCACAAGGTTGTAGATTTGTGCAAAATATCACTAAAACTAGTTTTTAATTTACTGTAAATTACATCCCAGTAAATACGGAGATGAATAAGGAGTATCCTCAGCATACTGGGTTTTGTGAGTCAATAGCGTTTCCACAGAATGTTTCATGCTGTAGATGAAGAGTATATTTTGGGTTTTGACACTTGTTAGTGTAGATATCACATACTAAAATGATTCAGTATTTAAAGTATTTAACTTGGAAGCAGGAGTGTCTTGTTGGATAACACAGATTGTGGTAAATGATCAAATAAATTCAGTGGAACATGTTTACATCACTGTAAATTATTTTCACAGTAAATTTAAAACTGTTTTAATCACTACAATGATGCAATGTGTGACCATTGTATTGTAATGATAGGTCAAGCAATGGCCCCTTGATTCAAGACGGCATCAATGTCAGTCCTGCTTCAGGCTTTACTACAACACAGCTGGATGGTGAATTCACTTAACATGGATTGACAAACTTTTGTTAGTTTGACTTGAAATGGAAATTCAAGCTTTGGAACAAAATACACAAAGTTCCACCTGAGTCAAATACCACAGCACACCCCCAGCACACTCTCACAATGACTGTGTGCTCTGGTTTTCAGTGCAAGAGCACATCATCCTGTATTTAGAAATGGCTGCCTTATCCAAGCCACATCATGAGCTGTGCAGCTTTGCACTGCATTAGCACAGCAGAGCGTGGACTGGATGTTTGTTGTGGTCAAAATGTGCCGAGTATAAACAAAACTGTCAAACATGTTCAGGGAGGTACAACGACCGTTACTTGTAGACTTATGTTTACATGTGGATGGTTTGATGGTTGGTTGGTAATTTTTGTTGCATCTTCATTAATAGTTCTTAATCATCATTGCTTTTAGTAGTGGTTTGTCCTCACTGAGTACAACTGGACTTCCATATCTGGTACAAAACAAAAAGAAACCACATGAATATTAATTATAATTGCCTTGTGAATCATTGCATTGGTGCTTAAAGCTACATAATTTACATTTTCTCGTTGGATATCAAACTGTGTACCCAGAATTTGAGACTTTCATCTGGCCATATAGGCTGTGATCATCACTATATCTAATCACTTTTCTTCTTTCAACCCTTCAGCCCAGTGTTTGTGCCCAGCCGAGACATGACTGAGGTGATGATCAGCAGCACCCCCATGGAGGATATGAGGCTCAGTCCCAGCAAGGACAGGCTCTCCTTCCAGGTAGGACACAGACTCGCACATGAATGCATGACAGTGAAATGCTGCTTCCGTCCCGACTCCCTGCCCTTATTTTTAATGTGACATAGCCGTTTTAGATTGGTCTTCATTCCGTTCGTTAGCATGAATTAGACTGATGTCATAATAGACAGGAAGGAACTGCCACTGTCGTGTAGTTCCAGCTGCATTTGGTATAGGATAGTGGATGGTGGTACTGCCTTTATAATGTATATAAACACAAAAGAAAGGTGACTTTAGATTTTTCTTTTTATCTAGAATACACCTGGCTAAGCTAAATAGTTTTTGTATGAAATGTATAATCATTTTAGAACAGTTGGACCCTGTTTATAAAGCAAAAAAAAAAAGTTGTGTAACAGCAAAAAGATGATTTGCTTCAAAAACTAGATAAAGAATTGCAATGCCAAGAAAACACAGCAAAATTCCCCCCTTACTTGTTCCAGTAATAAAGTGGTAGCAGAACAGCAGTTGTTATGGTCGGTCACAATTTGAAAGACAGGGGAAACGTCTTTAGTGTGAAATTGCAATTTACTGTGGCCTGTCCCAAAAATAAACCCTGAGATGAGAGAAGCAGTCATCAGATGGTTTTGACAAGTTGTTGCCTGCAGCTTTGTTTTACCGTCAGCTCACCAGGGCCATGATGGAAACAAAACTACTTAAACACACAGCTTGTTGTAGTGTCACGTTTGTACCTTGCAGGAAAATATATAAAAGGCTCTGTGTTGATACTGAATTTCATCATATTTTACCCCCAAAGTCATTTAAGTTAAGAACACTTGGCAATCATACCAGAGTTAACACAGGTGGTATCAAATTATCCTTAAGCATGTTTGCCACTTGATGAGGCTTTTGCAAAACACAGGGCAAAACAGCCATTGAAAGACAGATCACTTCATATAAGATTAATACAATTTGATCTGTACTACAGATTCACATTTAGTACATTTATAAACAAAGTACAATGGCCTGCTGATGCCATGCTTTATACAGATGTTGACTCTGAGAGGATGTGGACTGACCCAGAGGAAAAGACAGACTTCCTCTCTGCAGAGTTCACACCCCAGCTGTGAGTCTGACTGAGGGGATGAGAGAGCAGATGACGGGGAAACAGGAGACAAGGAGGTGCCAATTGGCCACCTTTTCACAGTTTCCATCCCCACTCGTTTCATATTTCCTCACCTCGGCCCTTTGCCCAAGGTCCCAGCCATTCCTTGGAGAAATACTCGCGGTATGGAGTGATGATAGCACCAGTCACTTCCTCCACTCCTCCCCCCCAGGGAAAGCATTAAATTCCAGCTGTGACTATAAAAGGTACTGAAGTGAATCTGAACTACTAGTGGACATGAATGAGTAAATTGTTACTGATTTACTGAATAATCTCTGAAGGCAATGTCATATCTCCACCTCCCAGCCTGACTTCACACCCCAGCCTGCACTGAGCCTGACTGATGTGTCATTGCTTCCTGCCACTGGAAGTGAAATGAGTTATGCCATGTGTTAGCTAGGGGTCCAAAGGCAAGGTCACTTGCTGTCTAACTGTCCTTGGTGCTGATGCACAGTGAGAGATGTTGATGCAGGCATTAGACATGAAAACAGACATGGTCCCACACATAACTACACCCATATGTTCACACCTCTGGGTTTTTTATGCAGCTGTTTTTGGAAAATGTAAAAGCCTGAGATAGATGCTTTCATAACCTAACAAATTCTCACACTCATGAGGCATATTTATAGCTTTTTGTCTTTTTCCTCCCTTCTCATCCGTCGTCTTTGGAATTCACGGAGTCTTGGACACAGCTGGATCCCCTCGATCTCTTGTCTGTTTCTCTCCTGCCTCTTCTAATGCTTTCTTTCCACTCGGCTCTTTGCCCAGGCAGCGACATTGCCCCCACCCCTCCGATGTCTTGGAGTGAAATATGAAGGTCTAAAAATATTCATCCACTTTATCCAAACAACAGCAAAAAGAAAGAAAAAAAAAATGCTGTTCTTGGACCAGGAGTGGCAGGCTTTTTCCCCTGGGCCATTGCTTCGGTTCCTGAGAATGGAGAATGTCCATTCTTGCCAGGACAGGGAATGTATGTAATCTCACTTGTCAGAATGTCTCTCATGCCCTTCAGTTTAGATCCAAACATTTCAGAGTGGCACACTGCTTTTATAATCAGACTTAACAGCCTGGCTTTGCAAATATCTCTAGCAATTTCACGTTCTTTCTTAAACCTTATCCCACAGGAACAACACTAAATGCTGACTGTTAGTGATGGATGTTCTATTTATACACAAATCACGTCCCAGTAAACTTTTGTGTTTTCAACTTGCTGTTGATTTGAAATGCTGTGATTCAGCTCGTGTATGATCTTCTGAGTAGTGGGTGAGTTTGTAAGCAGCTACAAGCTGCTTGGCACAGCTCCTTCCAAATCATTTAGATTAAAATTGAAGCAGTATTTACTGTAAGTCAGCTAGTCGTGTTTCATTTGCATCTCATTTTTGCAGTTTGTTTTGGGGTGAGTACCTGCACTCAGTTGGCAGTTCATTGAATACCATACAGAAAAAAAACTGCCTACACACTGACAAAGCAGAGGCTCTTCAGATGCCAAAAAGATTGACCTAGCTAAAACTAACTCGGTCTACTACAGCAGTCCTATAATAAATCCTCCCTTCAGGGAGGTTATGTTCCCTTTTGTTGAGGCTGTGTAAGAAGTGTTGATTCAACGGTGATCGTTTCAGAGGCTGCAGTTTGTGTGGAACTGCATTATACTGAGCAGCGTTTCTTAGCCTAGCCCCACTGATTTAAATGGGGTGTACAAAATAAAACCCCTTGTCAGTTCAGCAGTATGGAGCTGATCATACAGCTGAATCAAAACCTTTTCTAAAAACAAAAACTGATCAACTATCTTCATGAAGATGATTTATTGTAGGACTGTTTGTATTGGACCGCAATAGTTTTGTTAGGTGTACTTAAACTCACACCCGTGTACATGTGGAAAGCAATTTTGGCTGTTGGAGGAGTATGGGGTGGGCAAGAGCAGGTATGCCACTAGATTTTTAAGCAACCACTTCCCATCAGATGTTTAGTCTTCACATCATTTCCTTCACAGTTGTTTATCCTTGTAGTGGTGTCTGCAACACTTCTATAAGGCTCGAGAGTAAGTTCTGAACCTACTGCACACTGATCTTAAATGTGCTCACAAACGATTTATTGCTTTACAGTTGAGAACAGCTGAGTCTCCTTGCTTGAAATAGCCTTCTCTGAATTTCAGAGACTATTTTGTATGAATTTCTGAGGTGAATGAAAGATTAATAACCAGTGTGTTACCCTGGTCTGTCTTCTTTAGATATTTCCTGACCCCTCAGACTTCGACCGTTGCTGTAAACTGAAAGATCGTCTGCCATCCATCGTGGTTGAGCCAACAGAGGGAGAAGTTGAGAGCGGAGAGCTTCGCTGGCCTCCAGAGGAGTTCCTGGTCAGTGAAGAGGAGGAGGAGGAGGAGGAGGAGGAAGAGGATGAAGAGCAAAGTAATGGCAGCACCCAAAACGGACAGCCGACACAGAATTCTCAGCACTAGAAGCTGTGTTGCAGAACCCATGCTCATTTCTTTCTCATTGACTCCGTTTCACACACTGGTTTCACACTCTGGTTCCACCTCACCTCAGTGTTCAGAAGACTTAACTGGCAAACATATACTCAAACATACAATCCCATGATGTCATCTTGTTGCCCTCAACACCAAAGCACCACTCCCACAAGAGTAGCAATGCACGGATACACACTCTCACAATAATGTCTCGTCTTGGACTGGAAACCACCCAGACAGACTCTTAAGAATTGATGGGCACACCTCTACACTGCACCTGTTTCCTACCATGCTTACCACCATGCGTGTCCTGGTCCAGAAGAGATGTCCCAGTGGATACCGGTAGCTCGGTGCTCTATGGAGCTACAACTGCTCTGTAATTTCCTCCATGATGGCTGGCTTCATGACCCCAGAGACTTCATACACTCGGACAGAACTACTGTGGGGATTATTTATCTACAGTACACTGTCCAATAGTCGTGCAAGTTTCTGGACTGATGTGTTAATTATTGTGATTTCCACTGCTGTCCATAACTGTCTGGTTTTGAGAAGTGAATGTTTTGTGACGTCTGTTTTTGAGAAGTGGGTATTTTGTGTAAAATGTTTCCTTGACAAGATTTGTCTAAATGATATTTTTGTGAGTATAAGTCAGACATTTACAGTAGAAAGGCAATATGGAATCATTTTAGGGAAATGAAAGGAAAGAGCCAGCATGCCCTGCTAGACTAAGTACTTGATGAATTCGTTGTACCAAAGCTTGTTAGGCAGTGGGGTCAGTTGTGCTATGATGCTCTCATCATGTTGGTCTTGTATAGGGCTTGTGATGAACAGTACTCGGATGAGAAAGAAAAGATCATAACATTATACAATGTGACAAAGCAAGTTATTGTTAAACAAAGGAGAGCTGAGTAAGGATGGAAAATTGTAAGTTTTGTTAAAACTGTGTACAGACTCAATGAAGGATATGTAAATACTTGTTCCCTGTGAGGCCTTGTGATGCTCTGATCATGTTTGTACAATGGATTTGGTTATTTGAAAGGCAGAGATTTGCTATGAGCTGTAAACACCTGAACTGAAAGTTGACTTCTTTCCTAGTCTTCCCTTTTCTTTTGAAAACAGCCATACATTTGACACCAGGAAGTTCAGGTCATGTGAGAATTCGCACTGTAGGACAAAGATGAGATTAGTATTAAATGCTGTTCATAATAAAATTTGTCCTGATGTTTGCCAAAAGCAGTTTTTCTACTGGTAGGGACATCTAGCATTTCATCTGCCTATATTGCAGTTTCAGTTTGGTGTTTTGTTTTGTTTTCCCTCCACTATTTAAATTGCCTCATTGTTTGTGGAACAAGTCTTGTCAATTTGTGGAAAATAATTCTTGTGTACCCAATCTGAAATACTGTTGTACAAGCATGACCGATCTGTACATCTGTGTGTAACTTCTTGTTTGAGTGGCGTTAGGGCTGTGTACAGAATATCTTTCTCCTGTCACCTATAGGTCCCACGTTGTTTTTGTAAAGCTCAGGGAGATTAGCCGCCATCTTTCTCTTTTTGTATTTAGATCACTTTTCTCTGAAAATTACAGAGGCTGTAAATAAACATTTGAATTTGCTATCCAACTGTGCAACTCTGCTGTGAGAATAACTGGCTACCAAGAATTACTGCCCGACTATTTTTATGGTACAAGATGAAGTACTTCTGTTTACTTTCATTTTCTTGGAGCCCCCCTCCACCACCGCTCTTTTCCCCCCACTTGCTTCACCTGCAGTGGTTAGAGAAAAGCAGTAAGATTTCCTGCTCTCACAAAGAATCTCCCTCTATGAACACAGATGCATCAAATACGTGTGTGTATATATAGAAGCGAGAACGGGCCTTGTGCTGCTTCCTGTCTTCAACTTGTAGACAAACTAGTGCAATCTGGCTCCTAGTTAGAACAATCTTATTCCTTAGGGCTGAACAGTTATATTTCACTATATTCTTAAAATGATACTTATTTAAAATATTACATGATGCCCTCCAGCAGTAAGGAGAACATTGGTTTAACCTACCATAAATTATATTATAAGGTATAAAGGTCTGTGGAAGTAGCTCCTCACACTCTACTCATAAACACTCACCACAGTGATACCAGACTGTGTTAAGTGGAAAAGCTCTAATGGGAACTGGGAGATTTTACAGGAATAAACAAAAAGCTTTCTGATTGTTACGGAAACCTCTCAGGTGATGTGTCACAATATATACTGTGTTACTGACCCATTAGGTCTGGGATGATCGCCTAGTGGGTTGATCACCTAGTATGGGGAATAGACCATCAGAGTTGCTGTGGTGGGGCCAAGGGCCTGATGGTTTAACAAAGAACTCTTGGGGGGCCTTACAGTCACTTCCTGGAAGGAAAACAATGAAGTGACATTCTATCCTGCTTCCTTCTTCCTGGAAAAAAATGGGAACATAAAGAGTTATTAATACCCAGTAGAGTGTGTGGCTGGTTCTGAATAGGCTATAAAATAAATGACCTCTGCTCCATTCTTAATGAATGTTCCTTGGTCTCTGTGGAAAATGTCATGAGATCATGGAAAAAAGAAATGAAAAGGCAAGAATAACCGCAGTCCTTAGAGACACCTACTGAACTTGCATCCAGCCACACGATCATATGATGTCGGCCAGGAGCCTCTGAACTTTGTACTGTCTTGCTTTTTCAAGCAATATACTTCAGTTTTAACAAAGTCTTGCATGTTTGAGGCTAAAGGATATATATGAAAGTAAGCCCTGAAGCATCTTTCCATAGCATTTAGACATTCTGAGCAGCTTTTAGTTTCAGCTCCTTTTAATTCAGTCACTTCTCGGAAGGACTCAAGTTCCATACCGTTGCAGTTATAGATGTTTTGACTGCAGCCTTTCCCCTTTAAATCTGACTGAAGCACTAAAAACTGAGACTGGGAACCTGAAAGCTGAGGTTTTAGATTGTATTTCCATCATCTGGACAATTCAATGTTTGCAGTAATGGCAGGAATTTGCAGTTAAAACACGCACAAAGATCTCATGTTAAAAGGCCCTGAAAACCTATTTTCTCTAATGGGGTCCCAAATGAACACAAAGTTTTTTACCAAGGTTATTAAAGTTTTTTTTTCTTTACTTGACAGATTTCTTTGTGTTTGTGCCTGCTTCAGTTTCATATGTACTGACACAGACATGAGAATGATATCAATCTTCCCAGCTCGTCAAATAAGCATATTTTGCCAAAATGTCCAACAATTCTTAAATAAGTAATTTGTTCTCTCTCACTCTCATTTTAAATTTGACTGTCTATTCAGTCATGACCGTGATTTTGTATCATATACCTATCCAATTTGTTTATAGAACAGACTTACCATGTGAAACCACTTTTGCAGTGCCTTTAATTAATCTTATCTTGCTTTATGAACATGCCCCCGTGTTTTAGGTGACTTCACTGAAGATTTTCACCACTTTATCTCTTGTATATCTTGCATGAAAGTAATTTATTTACACTGTAAATCTGTTCATAAACTACTCTGCTGGTGCTCAGTGGTGCCAGCATTTATTTGCAAATTGTAAGACTACACAGTGACATAGGGGTATGGAGTATGTCTCGCACACCATTGTTGGCGTGAGACACTATCTTTAAATGTGTGAGAGAGCATGTGTGTCTGGCTATGTGTTAAAACTCTTGTCTGAGTCCTCTGAGTGAAGTGACTGATAGCTCTTCTAGCTCATTCTTAGAATTCTTTCCAATGGAAACAATCTGACTGCTGATCCCAGTATGTCAGCAAAGTCTGACCTGCCAACCTCTGAATTCTCCCCATCTCCCAACTACAGTCCACATTAATGCTGTTTCGCTGTCACTCCTCTACACTTAAACTCACACCAAGCCCTAAAACACAAAATACCCCCCCCCCCCCCCAATCTTGTATGTCATGAGGAGAAAAATAATGCTTATCCCATGAACGCCATGAATGTCTTCCACTCCCTCCTGTCATTTTACTTTTTTCTTCAATATCATGGTTTTCTTGTTCTTTCTATTTCTCACTCTCCCAGACTTTTATCCAGTTCTGTTATTTCAGCAAGTTTCCCATACTTACATGACAGTAGAAATGTGCTCTGCTTTCCCACAGTGCAGGTTATGTAATGTAAGTTTAGCATTTCATTATAAACAGTTACCCTTTTCTTACAATTTCACAATTTTAGTACAGCACCTATACGATATAAGTCACCTATAGGGTTATTCTGTGTGCAGGAACAGTTGTGTCTATGTGTTTGTGCAAAGCTTGCAAACACAAGCATGTGTTGAGGAGGTTTTACGTATAACCATGTCTGTTATTATGAATGCCATGTGCGTAAGGGAAAGATTCTTTTCCCATGGTTCCTCAAGTGTGAGAAGAAAGTAGAGCTCTCAGGACACCAAGCAAAAACTCTCCTAGTTATTTATAACCTGTCTGGAGACAGCCCACCAAGCGTGGACACATATCTGGCACCATCAACAAGGGAAGAGCTAGAATAAGATACGCTGAGAGGCATGCAACAAGGAGGGGGGATTACAAGGTGAATGAGTCAGGGAGGAAAAAAGAAGGATGTTAAGGTAGAGCATAAAAAACACCTGCACTGTAACAGGGGTAAATCACAGATTAATGATTGGCTGTCTCTCTTGGTAGCCAACTTAAATAAGACTTGATAAGATAAAGTAAAATGCAAACATAGCAAAAATGACACTTAGAAGCTTGGCATTATAAAATTTAACTGCTTTCCAAATGACACTACAAGCATCATGAATGGAAAAAAGAGACCTCTATAAGTCAGTGACGCAAACCATTTTATTATGCTTTTATTTGTCTTATGCCTGCCTACAGCACCATGTGACACCACATAAGAACAGGTGACTACAAAGTGGGAACTGCTATTCAAAACAAAACCTATACAACAACAATTATTCAGAATCAAGCATACTCAATGCTCTTTTTTAACCATTTTCTGTACCTGTACATCAGCAGACCAGCCTTCTGACATATGGTAATGCAACTGCTGGACTCATAACTATAGCATATATATTTGAACAGATCAGCCTGAGCACCCTGTGACTTCTTCTCTCCTTAACAGGACAGTGTTAAGGTACATTTCCATCTCATCCTCAAGCTTAGTTTTGATCAATACAAGTATGCTGGCATCTGCTTTATGCTGTAGTTGTGTGTGTTAATGTGCAAAACCAAAGGCTGCTGTTCTTCCGTAGGCTGTTGATATAAATAGACATCTTATGGCCCTGCCACTCTCATCCTTATTGCCTGGAGACCTGGATGGAAAAGGTGAAGAGAGAGGAGATTGATGGAGATAAACATACAAAAATTTGGATGCAAAACTGCAGTTACACTGATGTGCATGTGCTATTACAGGGTGAGGCTAAGACATGTCGTGAATGTGAAGAGGAAGTGAAGTGAAAGGAAAGAAGACTGAAGTTAAATCATCCATGTCCTCTCACTAAGGTTATTAAAGGCAAGAAGGTTTTAAAAAAAACAAGCTAGATGAGTTTTTTTCAAGAGAGCTTCATTAAAGGGCTATTAATAGACTTCATTGAAAATAAACCACAACACACTGTACAATGCCCTAAAAAAGTCATTCTGTCTCTCCCACATGGTCTTACATAAGTGGAAAGGCTTGTCTAACATGAATTAATGTTGTAGGTCTCTACATTTATATGTTAACTTGATCCATCACTGTAAAAGCTACATTTAACTTTTGCTTACCCCCCATGTCGTTTTTATCAGCAAACATAGCTTTAATGTACCTATTTTATGTTTTTCATGAACTAAACGTCCTGCTCCTTCTTACCAGAGGGCTTAAATATTTGGAATTCTCAAACTGCATATGATTATTATGCATACAGTATGTGATCATATTGCTTCTGCTAATTATCTTAGACAAGCTTCATTCATCACATGGATGAGCTTCTCTTTTGACAATGAGCTGGCACCAAACTGAAAAAACAAGAGCTTGTTTCAGTTTTTCCATTCCCCTCTGAAGTGATGCGGTGACCCTTGAGAAGTTGATAAAGCTATATAGTTCACTCAGTCTCTCCGATAGCGTGCATGCCATAGGGAGCAGGTCATGGAAAAGTCTCGAGTTTGGCAAAGTGCACTCTCTCTTGCCCTGTCTGTCAGTCCTTGTCTACCTCACTCACCACACACACACATAACCACATACAGAGCACACACACAAGAGAGTACATGTCCATGCTTGGACACACTGACCACTCTAGGCAGGCACACACACACACATCACTAAATGCTGATGTAATATGTAACAGTAGAACATCTCATAACTGTGGGTAAGAGAAACAAATTACAAGTGCTAGGTATTGCACTACTTTAAAAGGCCATGTTGTGGGACTTGGTGTAAAGAAGTACTGTATATAATCAATACATTGCTTGAGAACAGAAAGAGTTCTTACTTCTTATTAATTTGGGGAATCTCATGGAAGAACTACAACATGAGCAAAACAACTCAAACTCCAAAAAGAAGATTACTGAGCACTAAAGAAGTTGGTAATGGACATACCTATGAGTAATTTCAAAGACAATTTGCAGACATTTAGATGATTGCAGAAATGAAGAAGGTATGATTAAACAGTGTGAAGCTTACATCTTAATTTAAGCACTTTTGCCAAGGAGTATGAATGATGAACATCTTGTTGGTGTGGTATTGTATATTTGTCTTGCTCAATGATAAAACGCATTCGTGACTAAAAGGATGGTTTGACTGATGATTCTGTGATACAGTACAGTAAGGTAACTGTACTGATAAACAGTTTTGTCCATGCACATGTGAGGATTGAGCACATTATTTTGTGTGATTGCTGTTTTATTTATTGCACACTGAGGAAAGCTCAGAAAGCTCAGATTATAATGTGCTGTACTTAGGTACAATTTTGAGGTTTTTATTTTTACTTGAATATTACTATGTTGTGCTAGTTTAGGCATTGTTTCTATTACATTTTGAAAGCAAAAAAAAAATTATCTTTTATTCGACAACTTATTTGACATTTTATAGATCCTTTTGCAGATTAAGATTTTGCACACAAAACATGAGCAGTTTTTAAGGCGTGCAACTCACATATAACGGACCCATTTTCTGCATTACTACTTTTATTTTGCTGCTTTGAGTACATTTTGTTCATAATAGCCTACTTCTGCTTTAGTAATGATTTGATGCAGGACATTTTACACTGTGGTAAAAACACTGACATATGATTTACTGTAGTGTTATGACACACCTTTGGCAATGCTGCTCATTTGGTGTCTGCAGCTTACAGCTCACTGAGCGCATCTTCTGCAAACAGCACCATCTGTTGATGTCTGGGTGTAACGACAGGTGAGAGTTGACAAGTTGAGAGGTCGTTAGCAAAAGACGGCTGGCACACTTTTGTTACGGTCATAATAATTGAAGTCAGTCAAGTAGTCCTGTGTCCACGATTTGCTAAGCTAAAACCTCTTGGAAGAAGCTTATCGGTTGCGAGAGCGCCAGCTGGTAACGGACTGGTAACGGTAACCCAGATGTTAATAAGCGTTGCTACTTAGCTAGCTAACGTTAGCAGGCTGTGGTTGGCTTGGGCAAGACAGGTGTTTGGACTTATTGGAGCTAACGTAACTAGCTCATGTCATAAACTTCGAGGAAAAATACCAAAGGTGGGTATGCTGTCAGCCGACAGCAACTGTCGGCTAAATTTGAACTGACTTTTTATTATGCGTTAAGAAAATGGCTCGCTAAGCTAGCATTTGTGTTGGTTGTGTGCCAGCCGGGCAAAGGCTAATGGCACGTTAGCCAAAAGATAATGTGCACTGCTGCCAAAGATTTTGCTAGCTGTCGGCTAACGTTAACAACCTAACTAAACGAATGTTATAACTAAGTCTACTTTACGGACAACAGAGTTTATGGTTGAGGTTAGAAGTCTGGTTATGTTCGATAAAATTGGGTGGTCACTGAAGAACATAACTTCTTCTATCAAATAAACTAATGCTATGTTGTCATAACATTAGCTTGACATATATTGATTTCTCAGCATCTCACCTCATCCCTGTTCATCTCCAAGAATGTCGATTATAGTATTTGCACAAAGCAACATGTTACTAGTTTTCATACAGAATATGTCACATCTCGTCTAAGGACTTTATGTAATCATTGTTGTGTGCCTGGTGGAAGTCCTTGCTTTTTCATTGCCCCGCCCTTAAATAGTGGAAATACAGTATGTGTGCAATGTTACGATGCACAATGGTACATTAGCAACTTAATGTTCTTTATTAGATTTCATCAACGACATGTGGATTATTTTGTCCTGCTTCACCTGGCCTGTAAGTGTACAGTGACAGAGCCTGGTTCCTCTTGACGTTATTGTATACAGATGAAGTGACTATGAGGTTGATAAGCCATGTTGCAGTAGGCATTGACCACCTCTTTATGCGATTAATATTTAAATTATTTTTGTGAGTACTCTTATGTTTCTCAAAAGGATATCCAAAAGTTAAATGCTGTGAAAGTTTTAAATATATCATTGTAAATATTGAAAGACTTAATTCCCAAATGTAAGGTCAAGAAATTGAATCGGTCTTAAAAATCTGAAATAGTTTTCGCGTGATAGCAGGAAGTAGTTGTTTGCTTCTGGAGGATGTTAATTCACTCTATATGCCCTTTAGATCCAGAAAATATTGGTTTGCAGTTTAATATATCTGATGACCCTCTTTCTCTCTGCCTCTCACACACACACACACACACACACACACACACACACACACACACACACACCACTTAAGCACATAGTTTAGCCTAGACATGCTTGACCTCTTCACTCTGCTGTGCTCTGTCAGGATGGTCTTGGCTTAAAGTAAGGAATGCAGAATGGTTGCCAGAGAATTCAGACTTGGACTACAAGGAGTATGCTGTGCACTGCTTGTGGTGGTGTGTTTGGGGAAGTGCTTTCATGATCATTACTATGGTGATTAAATAAATATTAAACCAACCCAAATGGATGGTGCTAAATCAAACTCACAAGTAGAAACACTTGAACTAATGCTCATAATTACATGTATCACCACTCTAGCTCCAGGTGTGCCATCTCTTTTTATTGTATGAATATTTTAGGCTCATCTGATTGTTCCAGAAGCCAGCCAAGGGTGTGGTTATTTTGCATGGGGGGACATAGTTTAATTGTGGCAATTATGCTGAGCAAGCCTGTTTCCTCACCTCTCTCATGGCTCATATTTTCCGTCATTAAAACTTGTAACCCTTACCCATATTGCCAGCATAATCATGTGTGTCTCTTGCATTTTTTAAATGCACCTTCAGCCACTTTAGTTGCTGCATCATGGTGCCACAGAGTGTGTCAACAAGGGCAAGATGATAGGAGTGTTGGACACACATAGACTGAACTGAAGGCTAATGTGCAATGATAACTGTAATTAAGGTGGAAAGGTCTGAACCACAGTCAGTGTAAGAAAAGAAAACACCTGCTGGATGAAATAGCTCCCTGTAGCATCAGCTCAGACTCCCTGTGTCAGCAAGACTAGGGTGTAATTAAATCAAGATTCACAGCATTTCCCCTTTTAACCTTCATCTTAAGGGAGTTGGTAGTAATTAACTTGTTACAGTGTTAAGCTCTAATAAATATTACTATTGGCCCAGGTTCCTCTTAAAAATGCATTTTTAAAAGTATTTATGAACATGCATCCCACTTCTTATGTAGTCACACAAACTAGAGCTAGATCCATTTTACATGAATAGACACTGTACTGTTTTTGAGTGTCATCAAGTTAATTGGTGACAGTGGTGCAGTGGGTAGAGCAGTCGTCTCCCAACCGGATGGTTGAAGGTTCGAATCATGGTGCCCGCAGTCCACATGTCAAATTGTCTTTGGGCAAGACACTGAACCCCCAAGTTGCCCGTGATGGCGGTGCATATGCACGCAGCAGCCCGGGTCCCTCGGCTCCAAACAAAATTTCGTTGTACGTGTTGTACAATAAAATAAAGCTGCTTCTATTTTCAGGAAAATTTGTTTATGTGAATATATGCACGCTGTAATCCCCAATACTGCCTACAATATTCACAGATCCATACATTATCTATACTGTTTATCTTGAAGAGGGTCACAGGGGTTGGAACCAATCCCAGTTGTCACTGTTTGAGAGGCGGGGTACACTCTGGACAGGTCGCCAGTCCGTTACAGGGACTGACGACCACACTTACTCCTTCAGGCAGTTTAGAGTCACCAGTCAGCCTAAGCTTAAACTGCATGTGTTTGGACTGTGGGAGGAGAAAACCCATGCAGGGACAGAAAGACCATGTGAACTCCACACAGAAAGGCACCGGTCTCGGCCAAGGCTCGAACCCAGAGTCTTCTTGCTGTTAGGCGACAGCACTAACTACTGCACCATAATTACAGATATTAAAGGATTGCCATGATTATATATAAATAGTACAGGCCAGTACAGTACAAACGTATGACAACATTGCATTTGGCAAAGAATTGCATACACTTAGCTCCATGTTATAGTAGCAGCATTGAGAAACTAGCAAGTGCTGAATGTTCTAATTACAATTAAATAATTTTTTGCCTCCTTTGTTAATAAAACTTCAGTTCCCATGTTGACTTATTTTAGCTTTGACTTATATTCAAGCTAATTTTGGCTCATTCATCTCTCCACAGATGGGAGTGTCTGTGCGAGGCCTGTACTTTGTGGTGACCCTATTTTTGGGTAGTTTCTTTGGAAGTGTCTTCATGCTGGGTCCAGTTTTGCCACTCATGCTGCTGTCTCCTGCTTGGTACCGCTGGCTGACTGATCGGATCATTGCTACTTGGTTCACCCTGCCTGTGGTGTGTACACCAGCTCGGCCTTGACCTAGCCTACTTTTGTGTGTGCCAGCTGGACTTTAGTTACCTATGTTTGACTAAGTCACAGTAATGGGTAATCTCAGCTGTACTTATGCCTCCCTAGAACACTTCATTTATTCATATTGCCCTTTAGGATAGATCTTGTTTACAGTGACCCCATGAATTAACTGCTTTATTTTTTTTTTCTTCTCCCTCTTGTCCCTGTCTTGAATTCATCTTGCCATATTTCTTCTCTACCAGTCCCTCCTCTCTCCCTCTTTTATATATTTTTTAATTATTTATTTTTTCCCCCTTGATCATGCACTTTTCCATTTTCCCCAATCTGTCACCTTAACTCTTCTTTGCATTTTTGTTCCCTTTGCACGTTCTTGTTTATCTTCCATTGGTCCCTGCAACTCTCCCCCCATAGTCCTTGCTGGAGCTAGTATTTGGAGTGAAAGTGGTAATAACAGGTGATGGCTTCATTCCGGGGGAGCGTAGCGTGATCATCATGAACCACCGTACCCGTCTGGACTGGATGTTTCTTTGGTGTTGTCTGCTCAGGTACAGCTACCTTCGTCTAGAGAAGGTCTGCCTCAAGGCTGCGCTCAAGGCTGTGCCTGGCTTTGGTGAGTATCAGTGGATGCCCTGCCATGTCCTGTATACACATACATGCATATACACACACACACGCACACCTCTGCCTACCCTGCTATAATAGATGCTTTGCAACGTATTTCTTCAAAAACATCATTGCAAAGCAGTTTCCTTTTAATAGAGGAGGTGCTAGAATCATTCAGATTTAGAATGCTGAATCTAAATATAAAGAACAAAATATTGAAAATTAAGACTAGTAGAACTTCATAAACACATGGCATACGCTCAGTTGCTAGTTTATAAGACACACCTAGCTAAAGCCAGTGTAGTCTGAGCCAATTCATGCTTTGCATGTCCACAGGTCTGCTAAGGTCGAGTAATTTTTGTCATCTTCTTAGGTCCATGAGGGTCTGCACGGACTCTGTGTGGATGTCCATGTGCAGGCTAAAAGTTTTTGTCTGCACAACAAAAGTCTCAACTGCGCATGTACCACAATGCTTGGAACCTATCGGCGTACGCAGACAGAAGGCAGACCCTTGATCTGAATTATGAATAGGAACATGTGCACGCTGCTCGTCCATGTGCGCATGCACATGAGGGTATGCACAAAGCATAAATTCCCCTTAATACAGCAGTCAAGCAGTAAATCCCACCTTTATCAGTGAATGCCTGCACCACAATGCAACAGCACCACAAACTGCATCCTCCAGAAGGATCACACAGTTACCACCTCTCTCAGTTTCACCAAAAACTGAGCATTATAACCTTATTAGACTGCAACAGTTTAAGCCAGGTGTACCTAATAAACTGTCAACTGAGTGTAATTTAATGTAACCAGTGAAAGAGAGTACTTTATTTTCTGCAAGAGGATGTTGGTTTGAAAAAAGATTTCCAGAGGCAGCATGGAAAAGAACATAGGGTACATTCCATTTCCCTTATTTGATCATTCTTCACCCTTTGCTAGACCTGGAAGTCGTTCTGGTCCACTATCTTGAAAGATGTCCAAAAGCTCTTGTTCTGAGGAGCAAGGAGTGATGAGGCTGCCTGTAAAAGACATGAGCGAGGATACACTAAGGCATCCTTTGCAGAAGTCTTTTGTGAAGCAACACCTCTTTATTGTAAATCATTTGGTGATTGGATGCTTCAGATGAAGGATTTGGAAGAAAAGAGGTCTTATGTCTTTAAAAATACATTTCCTCAATTCTTCTCATGTTTTCCCTTACATCTTTTCCTCTCATCTTATGTAGATGAGACTAAGACTCATGGAAAAGAGGTAAGTGAGGGGAAACATGGATGCATTTAAAGGAACTGAGATTTACTCATAGTGCTGTAATGGAAAAGGCCTAATGTCAGATGCTTTTACTGATAATCATAGGCTCTGTCTGCACTGAAAAGTCTTACAGAGTCAGTTGAGCATGAGAAGTAATCAGTTCCAGATGTGAAAACTTTGTATGTACTTTCCAGGCTGGGCAATGCAGGTGGCCTGCTTTGTCTTTATTCAGCGTCGTTGGGAGGAGGACAAGATTCACTTGGAGAACATGCTGGACTACTTCTGTGACATCAGAGAGCCCCTTCAGCTGCTACTGTTCCCTGAGGGCACAGACCTCACTGGTGGGGATAAAGAATGCACCACTCCATTCATACATGTAACAGTTTGCCAACATTTTAGTTGTTATTCTCAGAGTACACTACCCTCCAAGCAGTTTCTAGAGCTCAGTATGGTCCTACACCTGTCTTACACCAGTGCACTGACAGTCATACAAACGCAATTTCAAAAGTGATAAGGCGTAGCCAAATCCCTTGACACACACCCAACACAAACCTCTTTCTGCAAGAATGCTCTGATGTTCAGTCCAAACAACAGTGACTCCAGTGTCTAAAGCCCTTTGAGATCACAATTAAGTCAGTCAAAGTCCCAAGTAGCTTTGCTAGAGCAAGCTTAACTTCTCTATACATATCCTGATGTCATGAGGGTCCAGTGTAGTTACACCATAATTGGCCAGACGCTTTAGGGCTTTAAATATTGATTCACTATCAGTGTTGTGTTTACATCTGTGTATGCGTGTTTGCACGTCTGCAGTTAAGCTTCTTAGACCTTAAGGCATAATTTGACGCAAGAAATAAGAGGATGTATGTTCTGATGGCTTAAGTTGTCTTCTTCTTTACTCCCATAATACTTACTGTAGATACACAGATACACACCTCCCTGGATCAGGTTCAGGGTGCACTTAAGCCCCTCTAAAAATGTTTATGACCCCTGCTGAAGCCTTTAGAGCTTGTGTGAACGCAGTGAAAGATTTGTACAAAAATGACAGCTCCCCCTGGGAGAGGCCTGTTCATACTTGTTTTGTACTGCAAGTTTGTTTCAGGAGATACTTGTTACATAACATGACTAATGAGTCATGGTATAGTTTACATGTTCCTACGACAAGTTCCAGAGGAATGTTTGGTTAATAAACAGTCATCTTTTCTGTGTTTATGTATCCCTATGGTTTTTACAAATGTGTAAGCGTTTGTCACTGGTATGATGATGATGATGTATTTCAGTCAGTCATATCCCGTAACCAACGGTACTATTATTGTTGCTGCTAATATTGTAATCTTATACTGTTATTTGTGCAGTTATGTGGCTCTTGTCAACAAAGTTCTACTGTACTTGTACTAACTGCTAGGAATTGTTTATATGTTTTTTTTCATAGTTATTTGAATTGCAGAAGATGTTAAGTACAACATCAAAATTAACCCCTAGAAAAGACAAAGTAAGAAATTACCTTTAATTTATCTACTAAATGTTCTGTTTTTTCAAAATAATAAACTAGCAAATGAGCAAGTCATTTTTAGATTTAGTTTTTAAATATATATAATATAATATAAACATAAGATACAAGGTTTTTAGCCATCGTGACAGTAACTCAATATATACAAATAGTGATTACTTTTCAATAAGAACACAATATTTTTAATAGTTTACTTGTTAGCACATTGTCTGTAGTGATTGTGGCCTTTTACTTATGATGTAGATTGTAGCATAATGCTGTTTGTTTCTCCTGCAGAAAATACAAGAGCAAAGAGTGACACATTTGCTGCCCAGAACAACCTGCCAAAATTTGAGTATGTGCTGCATCCCCGAACCACTGGATTCACATTTATTGTGAACAAACTACAAAAAGGTCAGGCGTATTCCATATCAGCTGTTTCTGAAATCATGTAATATGTAAACATTAAGGACGAGATCCACCCTGAGTACCTTAGGTCTCTGGATGTTGTTGGGCTGTCTTGGTTGACATGCCTCTGCAACGTCGCATGGCCGTCGGGGACAGTGCCTTTGGACTGGCAGACCGGGGTGGTGGTCCCTCTTTTTAAGAAGGGGGACCGGAGGGTGTGTTCCAACTATAGGGGGATCACACTCCTCAGCCTCCCCGGGAAAGTCTATGCCAGGGTACTGGAGAGGAGAATTCGACCGATAGTCGAACCTCAGAT